CAGCATTAATACAACCTCACGAGGTGGATGAGGGTGAATTCTATCCCGTCCCTATCACCAAAATATCTCATTGACTACACTATTCTCCAAAGAAAGGGATGAACCTGTGCCAACGTACTTAATACCTCCTACAAAAATCGAGCACGACCCGGTCCGGGGGACCCGGTGCAAGAACGTGAATATACACACTCAAGAACCCCTCAACGTATGTCGTGATACTCTCCTCGGGGGAGGGTGCTCGCAAGATCATGCCTTCCCCCCATTCACACTCTTTTCTGATCATCTCGAGGTTTTTCTCCCTCACCGATGAAATAATCCTCGACACATGCTCTCGATGGCATGGAACATTGGGAGGTCTCCCTGGTGTGACAACTTTCTTCGAGGTAGGGCGACCCGAATCTCACTCTCCCAATATTGGGGGCGAGCCGCTGGTAACAACCAAAGGTAGAGCACAGCAGGGACTCCCCTCCGTCCGAGGATCAGCAGTCGAGGCAGCAGCCATGATTACAGCATAATAAAGGCGAAGAAGATGAGGATCCTGGCAAAAACTTTCTGAAGCTGGGGAGCGTAAGGACTCGCACAAAGCGCCGGGCTCTGCAGAAGAGATAGGCTTATAAAAAATTGCAGAATTGCCGCTTGAAGGGCGGGTGGGCAAATATATAGAGGCTGAGCGACAACTGCTCGTTTGCCCAAAAGGGCCAATTAATTCTGGCCGCATTAATGTTACCTTCTCCTTGGGGAGTGCACTGGCAGAATCATTCTAGGCTCCCGTATAACTCATAAAACCGAAGGACCTCAGGAGATCCCTGACGTCATAAATATCGGATCGGAAGGAACTATCGATTCCACCTCGAAACGTTGCTAGTCTCGGGGCCCCTGGTCGGTCCCATGAAAAGGCCCCGAAGGGCCGGAGCCAAAACACAAAAACAAAGAAGCAAGAAGAAGGACTGACAGAATAAAAACTCCTTTTATACATTAGCAAAGAGAGAAAAACGTCATTAAACCATTTGTTTCTCGGGAGGGGGGGGGGACACATAAAGCAAAAAGAAAGGCATACAAAAAAGGCTCGGAGACTACTCCTTGCGACTATCATCTTCACCCTTATCAGGGGTATTCAGGAGCGTCAGTCTTCCCTCCACCGTACGAGCCTCCTCTAGATCGACAGATAGCTCGAAACCTCTGGCCTCGAGTTCTTCTAGGGTCTCCCTCTTTGCCTCCACTTTGGCGTATTTGACGACTCGAATTAACTGGCATCACACATAAGTTCAAATGGAAGAAACCAATCGGGTGTGACAATAATAGGTGTCGTGGTGAGCCTCGCTTTCAATTCCTCAAAAGCTTTGAGGAACTTCTCATCGAAATCAAACTTTGTATCTTTTTCAAGGAGCATGCACATGGGACTTGCAATTTTGGAAAAGTCTTTGATAAATCGCCTATAAAAACTTGCATGCCCTAGAAAGCTTGGAATTCCTTTTACTGAAATGGGAGGAAAAAGTTTGGAAATGATCTCGATCTTTGCCCGATCAACCTCTATACCTTGCTTGGAAATTTTGTGGCCGAGAACGATATCCTCGTCCACTATGAAGTGGCATTTTTTCCAATTTAGCACAAGGTTTGTTTCCTCACATCTTTTGAGCACTTGCCTAAGGTTGTCAAGGCAATGCTCAAAGGAATCACCAACTATAGAAAAGTCATCCATGAACACCTCTAAGAAATCCTCCACCATGTCAGAGAAGATTGACATCATGCATCGTTGAAAAGTAGCCGGAGCATTGCATAATCCAAATGGCATCTGGCTAAAAGCAAAAGTTCCATACGAGCATATGAATGTTGTATTATCTTGATCTTCTAAGGCAATGTTGGTGGTTGTAGCTAGAATAACCATCCAAGAAGCAATAAAATGATCTTCCTGCTAGCCGATCAAGCATTTGATCAATAAAAGGCATAGGGAAATGGTCCTTGAAATTAGCACTATTGAGCTTCCAGTAGTCCATGCAAACTCTCCACCCGGTCATTGTCCTCGTTGGGATGAGATCATTTTTTTCATTCTGAATGATGGTCATGCCTCCTTTCTTTGGCACACATTGCACCAGACTTACCCAGGGACTATCGGCAATGGGGTAGACAACCTCGGCATCCAACCATTTAATGAATTCTTTCTTCACCACCTCTTGTATAGAAGGGTTTAAACTTCTTTGATGCTCTACGCTAGGTTTGCTTTCTCGCTCCAATTGTATCTTGCTCACAAATTCCAGCGGGAATCCCTCAGATGTCCGCTATTGTCCACCTAATGGCCTATCTATGCTCCCTCAAGATATTCAACAGTTGTTCAACCTGCACATCATTCAACAAAGAAGAAACGATTATGGGTAGAGTGTCATTAGAGCCAAGAAATTTATACCTTAAGTATGGCGGGAGTGGCTTGAGCTCAAGTTGTGGCGGCTCGATAATTGAAGGTTTAACGGAAGGAGTGAATCAATTCTCTAAGTCAAGAGGAAGTTTCTTTGGTGCATAAGTGTAGGACCCAAGCCCTTCCAATGCATTCACCGATTCCATGTATCCTTCCATATATTCACCATCAAAGTTTACCAAAATAGCCGCCAATACCTCACCAAGGCATTCCTCTTCCATCTCCTCGATTGCATCCTCTACCTCATCAACAACCTCAATGACTAATATACTTTCGTATGCATGTGGCAATTTCATGCCTTTACTAGCTTGAAAAGTAACCTCTTCTTCATTGACTCGGAACTTGATCTCATTTCGTTCTGAATCCATGAGTGCTCTTCCAGTAGCAAGGAATGGTCTCCCTAAGATGATAGCGATTTCTTTATCAACAACACAGTCGAGGATAACAAAGTCGGCAGGGAGAAGGAACTTTTCCACTTTCACAAGAACATCATCAACAATTTCCACCGGTCTTTTTATTGAATGGTCGGCCATTGTAGGCCTAGGCATACCTAATCCTGCTTGCTTGTAAATAGCAAGAGGCATTAATTTGATGCTAGCCCCATTATCACAAAGGGCTCGTGCAAAGTCACACAACCCAATGGTGTATGGAATGGTGAAGGTTCTCGGGTCCTCTTTCTTTTGGACGGTGGTTGTTGCAATAATGGAACGAACCCGGTGAGTCACATTCACCACTTCATTCCTGGTGGTTTTCTTTTTAGTGATCAAGTCTTTCAAATACTTAGTAAAACCCGGCATCTCTTGAAATGCTTCCATAAATGAAATATTCACCGATAATTGCTTGAGAATGTCATAGAACTTCTCAAGTTTGCTATCATCAACCTTCCTATCAAGTATTTAGGGGAAGGACGAGGAGGCCTAGGAATTGGTGCTAGAGTTTTTGGTATCTCTTTCACCTTTTCCATAACCTCTTTACAGTTCACTTCTTGAATTTTCACCTCCTTTGGGAATCTTTCAGCTTCAACAACAATTGGCACCTCAACTTGTGCCTCAACTTCTTGTTTAGAATCTTCCACTTTGATCACTTGTTCATTCTCTCCTTGAAGTAGTTTCCCACTTCGAGTTGTGATTTCCATACAATGAGAAGTCGGACCACTCCCACTACCTTTTGGGTTCACTATTGTGTTACTTGAGAGTGTGGCCTTCTGCTTCGGATTTTGCTTTCTTGATAGATCTCTCATTTGCAATTCTAAATTTGTATGGATGCGGTGTGAGAACCCACACACTCGGTCATATTCTTCATTGAAATGTCGGATCTTTCTTCATTTTGCAATACTCGTTCAAGCATGTTTTCTAACTTGGACTCACTTGAAGAACTTTCCTTCCAATGCCGAGAGTTGGAATATTACCCCTTTGGTGGAACATAGGGGTTTGAACTCCAATTTGAAAAGTTGTGTTGTTGTTGTTACTCCAATTCCCTTGATTTGAACTACTTTGTTCGTTTCACCACTGCTGGTTGCCTTGCCCTTACGGGTCCATTGGTTTTGTTGTTCGGAACCTTGGTAGGGTTGTCTTTAATAACCTCCTTGAGAGTTGTTGACATAATTTGCTTCTTCGTAATCCTCATTTGACATGGGTTGCACATCTTCCACCACGTTCACCTTTTTTGTTTGGCTTTCAGTGAACATCTTCATCAACACATTGACGTTGGTGGCAAGCCCAACAATTGCTTGGTCTCTTTCTTGGTTCTCCTTAATCTTGTTGGTCAAGGAAGGAGTGCCATATGCAGTTTCACCTGTGGTGTCATCTGAGTGCCAAGCTTGGTAATGTTTTGCCATTTTGTCAAGGATTTGTGTGACCCTTGCAAATGATTTATCCATAAAAGATCCATCAGCTGCATTTTTGGCTATGGATTGATTCATCGGATCCAAGCCCATGTAAAATTTCTCCAACAAGATAGTATCTGAAAAACCATGATTCGGCAACCTCACTAAATATAGCTTGAATCGATCTCATGCCTCATATAGATGCTTTTTCGAAAATTTCTTAAAAAAGAAAATTTTATCCCGGAGCTCAGACTTCTTGCTATGCGGAAACCATTTTGCTAGGAAAGCTCGGACAAGCTCGGGCCAAGTATGAATGGAATTATGCGGTAGATTTTGGATCCATTGTCTTGCCTTGAACACCCTCAACCTTAGGTCATCACCTGAAACGTGATTCTGCTTGTGCATCGCACACACACCTAAGAAATTTCTGAGATGTTGTGTTGGATCATCATCTGTGGAATTTCTGAAAAACCCCTCTGCCTTGAGCATTAGGATTAGACTGTGTTCCACCTTTGAAGGTAGCAGCATCAACTCTTGGAGGGACAATGGCATTTTTATCCTCAATATACTCATCTATATCTGCAAAAATATTCTCTTTTTTCAGCTCACTCATGTTTACCTAGTGACACCAAGCAAAGCAAACAAAATGTGATGGAATAGAAGAAGACATAAAGTAAAGCACACACTAATTAGTAATTTCAAAACCGTATTCCCCTGCAACAGCGCCAAAATTTGATACGCTCAAATTATACTTAAATAAATACTATAAGGCGGTTGAATCCCATAGGGAATAGGTGTGAAAAGGTTACTTGAATAGTGTGAAACTTGACTTAAGTCATAATCCTACTCTGTTAGCTTAAAAGAGAGTGTTGTGATTGTGAATTATCAAGAAAACTATTTTGTTATGAGATTGTAATTAATTTAACTAAGGAAACCAAGGTTGTGTCCCTATCAGTGGAATGTAATGCTATCGGCGTTAATATGATATATTTCTAGTGGAAGGTCCTTTGATATGCAAATAATTTCTAAATGGCTATCCAATATTTCTCAATATTTTGGTAGTATTTTCTCTTTATGATTTTTCCAAATATAAAAGAGTTACAATTAAGAACCACCAATATATGCCAAATAAAATCCACTTATTCCTAAGCGATTCTACTAAACAAGGTTTAAAGCCTTGAGTTTTTGCTATTTAATTCTACCAAACCCTAACCCACTTTTTCAAGTAAAGATAGAGTGAAATGGCATTAGTCAATATTTGCAACCGCCAACATTAAATGAAGCATGAGAAATGAATAAATACCAACCAAACATTATATATATATATATATATATATATATATATATATATTCAATAATAAACACCCATTAATATTACATCCATTTAGAGTCCACAATCTTGGTATTTACGACTAGCTACTCATACTAGAATCCAAGAATAAAGCAACAAATAAAGCCATAAAGCTTACAAAGATAACAAGATTCTCTCTATAAAAGCTTGCAAAACAATGGAGTATTTAATGCTCTCGATGTAGTCTCTTTATCAGACAAGATACCCCACAAAAACCCTAGTTATTCTATTTATAATGAGCTAAAAGTTGGGGTCAACATATGACAAGAATACCCTTGCAGATCACATTTTCAACCACAGAACAGCCGCAGAACACTTCTGCAGCCCACAGAGTTACAATTTTCATCCTAGAACTTAATCTCCAGTTCCCCAGCTCTTCATCGCAGATCCATTATGTGGTCCGCATAGTGGTTTTGAAATCTCCTTTGATGTTGCAGAACTACTCCAGCAGAAATTCTCTTTGCAATTCTTCGGTCATTATGCGATCTGGACAAGTGTTATGCGACCATAAATTTGACCGCAAAGTTGATTCTAAAAACTGTATTTATCTGTTTCACTCTACGGTTGGTTTGCGGCCGGCATATCACTTTTGCGGTCGCAAACCTGCTATATTTCTCCACTTCTATGGATTTTTGTCATCTTTTCCTTGTTCTTGGTTCTTGAAGTCTAGTTTGCTGCAAAACATCAAAACTACATAAAAATTGACTTAAATGCTTTAAAAGACGAGCTACAACCTATGTAATTAGTATCAAAAGTGCCGCAATTCTACGGCACATAAGGTACCCAATAAATGTGGGTGCCATCATGTCGGCCAATATGTCAGTGGTTGTCCAGCAGGGTGAGGCTCCTACACGTATCCAAACACCATCATAGAATACCTTACGGATGCGAGAGTGGAATCAAAGCCATTTGATACAAAGGTTCGGGCAAAACAACCCTTTTTATGGTACTTTCTCAAGGACCCGAGGAACCTAAAGAATAAGAGCAAGAGTCAGCCAACTACTACCGACGACCAGTCTGAAGTGCCTTTGGTGGTAGCTACAGCTTCAGCAGCCATACTTTTAGCTGATAGGCCTGCCACCTCAACCGGGCCTTCTAGCAGTACAGTTGTCATACCTCCACCACCATCTGAAGGGCCACCATCAACTTCAGTACCTTCATCTTCTACCTATCCACTCACAGCGCTGAGAGTCTCCCAGACTCTGGAAAGTATCAACAACTAGATGCAGACAGCTACTGCAAAGATGGCTGACTTATCCAGTACTGTTGCAGTACAGTCTTCCACCCCAGCACCCCAGACTTCTCCCATAGTGGAGGAGAACTTGAAGAAGATTTTGGAAAACCAACAGAGTATTATGGATTCTCTAGTGGCACATGGGGGACTGATTGAGGAGTTAGGCAAAGAGGTGAAGAAGAAGAGGAAATCACAGGCCGCGAAGAAAGCACTTGACAAGCTGACCAAAGAAGTGGACAAGATAGCATCAACTAGGGATCTTCCACTTAATCTACTAATGGAGTCAGCACCAGCAGCACCATCAGTACCAAAGGCATCAGAGGCAACAACTGGCCAGTATGAGGGGCCAAACCTCGCTGCCCACACTACTGAGGCAGTGTTACAGATGTTCACCAACCCCGCTACTCCCCGAGCAGAGGACGATGAGATACAGTTGGAGGAGCATGGGGATGGTGATGATGCTATGGACATTGAGGCTACATAGGGAGTTTTTCTACTCTTTCCCTTCTTTGATTTTATTTTGTCAAGAATTGGGGACAATGCTCATTTTTATTTGGAGGGTGGAGCCTATTTTGATTTGATGACAGTTGGCCTATAATAACTTGATAGCATTCTCTTTTCTTCTTTTTATTTATGTACATATTCTTCTTTCTCTCTACTGATGTATATATTCTCTCCCTCTTCTCTTATCTTGTATATTCATTTCATTTATGCTTTTAGTAGTTTATTCTATAGCTTATTTATCTTGCTTTCTTAGTAGTTGATGTTTAGATTAATAGTTTCTTATTTATGTTGTTAGCTTTTTTTGACTTGATAGCTTCTTTTTATGTTTAAGTGATCAATAAACCTTTGGTTTTCTTAATGACACTGTTCTTTTCAAGGGTGGTTTTTGTGTGAACCGGGTGGCTCTTCCCAACTATGGATGGCATGATAATCTTCTTAAAAGATTGAGTCCGTTTTTTATGTTTAGGTAAAAACAATAGCAATGAATAAAAGGGTCAAGCATGCTTCACTTGGTACCAACACATTTAACTACGGCCTTATGGTTAAAAATAAGTTCTTGGCAAGAAATAGTTCTAGTTAGTGACCTTTTGACTCTTGTGTTGACTTGAGCAATTATCGAGTGGTTTAATTGAACCATTAGTGATTTTCAATCTTTAATATGGTTGTTGTGGGCCCTCGACTCTATCTTCTTTAACAATCCAGTGGTGTAAGAAGTGAGATATTTGTTGCAAGTCCAAGTACCCGTGCGGATGGTCTAGAACTTGCGCTGAATGTGTTTCTAGGCAAAATTCTAAGTTTTGCTCTGCTTGAGAAGTACTTGTAGGCTCTCCTTGGCCCTCTTGAAATTTTTCATGTCCCACCAATGTTACTATCCCTAGTCAACCCATTTGATCCTAAGACGTTTCTCATTTGATAGCCACGTTACAAGCCTTTACCTGTTTTGTAGTGACCCTCTCTTGGCACCCTAGCTTTCCTTGACACTCTTGAGAAGTAATTGGCTAAAACATAAGTCTAGGGGAGGGACGAAGAGTTTGAAAGTGGTATCAAGTCACAAAAAGATAAGAAATGAAGAAAAGGAAAGGCAAAGAAAAAGAAAGAAATAACAAAAATAAAAATGCAAAAAGAAAGTGCATAAAGTGAAGAGTTGAAGAGATTCAAAGAAAAGCAATGATGCAAAGCATGGAGAAAATAAATAAGGAGAAAATGAATATCATGATTAAGAAAGAGTGATGTTAAGTCTTTCTAGTTCCCCAAAGGAAAAATAAAGTGACTCAAAGAGTCGGCAAAATATGAGCCAAAAAGAGAAAAAAGGAGTGCTTAAGGAAA